GAGCGGACCAGCGGCCGCCGCCTCCCGCTGACCCCGGGGTAAGAGCCGGGCCGGGCGGGGCGGGGCGGGGGCGGCGGGGCCGAGGCCGATCCCCCGGGGCATCTCGCTCGCCTGGACCCGCACCCGCGCGGCCTCCTCGCGCCCTCCCGGCCCTGGAGCCGCGCCGGGGTCACCGGGCGGAGCCGCTCAGGCCCGATCGGGACCCGGGAGCAGGGGGGCGGCGCGGGCCGGGGCGCAGCCGGGCGCGGAGGTGGCCGGGCTTCCCCGGGGCGGGAGCCGCCGCCGCCGCCCGCGCGCACCGGGCCGAGCGCAGGGGCAGGTGGCCGCGGCGGCTCCGGCGGGACCTCGGGGTCACAGGCGGACGCCTGTCCCCTTCAGTCCAGAGGCCGGGGCCCGGGGGGAGCGATCCTCCCGGGTCTGCACGCCGCGGCCCCTGGCAGGTGGGGAGGGCGGGATGCGGGATGCGGGTGCCAGGAGCGCGCGCCTGCAGGGAAGAGGCATCGCCGCCGGAGCCGCCACCTCCGCCCTCCGCCCCCGCCGCCCCGGCAGCCCGGCCGCGCTGCGGGCGGCGGCGGCGGCTCCCTGTCCTCAGCTCACCTCCCCGGCGGGCTCGGCGGCTGCCCGCCTGGTCCCCGCCTCCGCCCCTCTGCTCCCTGCCCCCCGCCCGCCCTATAGCAACTTTCCCGAGTGTCCGGCGGTGGCGATCGGTCGAGGTGGGGGTGGGGATGGAGATGGGGTGGGCGGTGGCGCAGACCCGCGGATGCCGGCGGGAGATGCGGTCGCGGACCCGCAGCCCCGATGCTCCCGACGCGCAGGGCGCTCCCGCCGCCGGGGCTCCGGGCGGGCTGGGCGGGAGGGAGGCGAGATGGGCTGCGGGCTGAGCGCCGACCCGGCCAGCACCGCCCGGAGCGCAGCCAACTGCCCTGAGTCATTTCCTTGGAATCCCACCTTTGGTGTTTATTTCCCTTAGAAGGAAACTTGGTTTAAAAAAAAAAAAAGGAAGAAAGAAAGAAAGAAAAGAAAAAGAATAGCTCTTATTCTTCAGGGGAGACTGTGGAAAGACAACTTGCCTTTGTTCCCAGACTCTTGGGGTGTTGTTTACTTTATCTTGGGGGCGGGGGGGGGGGGGACAGGGACTCTGCTCGCTTCCCCCCACGGAGGGGCTCGCTCGGAGGCGTAGGCACGACCCCCGGGGGGGGGGGTGTCTGGCTGGGAGCCGGGATGTGAGGGCTGCTGCCAGCCTGCATGGGGGTCGGTTCTCTAAGCTGCGGATCCCAGGTTTTTTTTTTTGTTTTTTTGTTTTTGGCCCTGGGATGGGGAGACCTGGCCCAGGGACCTGGACACCCACCTCGCACCTCTCCTCCTCCAGCCCAGGACCTGGCCTGGAGCTCAGGGCTCTGGGAACTGAGGCTGAGGAAGGCGCTGCTCAGGGCAGACAGGTGTTCCCTGCCAGGCCTGGCAGGAGAGCCGTGTCTGTCTGTGTTGAAAGGGTTGGAAGGGTTTGATTGTGCCCATCCACCTCTTCCAGCCACCGCTATCCAGAGAGCGGGCTGAGCTGTTGAGGTCTTATTGGGGACAAGGTGGAGAGGCCTGGGCTTGGCTCCACTGGGGCAGGGCGTTGGTGACTGGCAGTGTCAGTGCTCTGCAAAATAGCAAGCCCTTTCCTTCCCTGCTTGCCAGTGTTGGCATCAGACCTCTACCTGCTATAAGGCTCTTACTAAAATGTTTTCTCATTTCTAAGGATAGAAGGGGGTGAGAATGACCGGAGGCCTCCGTTAGATTCAAGGTGCCACTGAATCTGGGGCTCCCCTGTTCTATGTGCCAGTCACTCTTATTAGCATCATAATGGGAAAAAGAAAAAAAATCCCAACCCATCTGGAAAAACCAAACTGAATAGAAGTGCCTGGTAACTTTACCGCGAGCATTGGCTTGAGCTCTCGGCCATCTGGGGATGCTTGAGAGGTCATACCGCTACATCTACGTGGCTCACAAAACAGGCACCTCACCAAACAGGCATGTCAGGGCCTGAGGATAAAGGTTAGAGCCTTTTGATGATCATTTTAAACGCAGTGTATAGACAAAACACACTTGAACACACTTTTTTTTTTTTTAATCCACTCATCTCTCATGGTATGCAGATTCTTGCCATTCATATACATCTGGGTGGCTCTATTGCATATTGACAGCACATCAATGTGTGGACTTCAAGTAGTAGGTTGATAGGTAAATGGCATCGTACAGAGGATGATGACAGTGTGGTCTGCACACATACCACCAATAAAGAATCACGTGAACCATCGGTGCTGAGCGCTGCACACTCCAGTCCTTCCTGAACCCTAAACGTGCCTTCTTCATTTGTTAACGTCCATGACTATACAGTCTAAGTAGACTAGAAAGACTAGATTGCTGTGGAACTCATGCTCTCCAGGTTAGCATTGTGTGCATCCAAGTTTTCAATTCGGAGAAGAAAAACTTAACTGAAATTAGTATCATAAAGGAAAAAGCACACACACACACACACACACAAAAAAAAAAAAAAAAAAAAAAAAAAAAAAAAAAAAAAACCACACCCAGCCAAAATAAAAACAATTTTGCCTTGTTTCAAGTTCATGCTTCAAGTTCCAATGCGTGATGATAAATATTTATGTCCTGGAAACAATACTAACAAATAGGAACACTGAAAACCTTAACCAGAAACGCTACAACAATAAGTCCTCAAGAGGTAAACAAACTCTTGCTGACATAACACAGCCCAGGGCCCACATCAGGTCCTATTAAACAAAGGCAATTGCTGCTAGGCCCTGCCAATGCTTTCCTCTCTTCCATGGGTCAACCTGCTTTGGTTTCCATGTAATAAAAGTTCTTCTCGGGCAAAAAGTTCGGATCTTATTCCTAGAATCCAGCACAAAAAAGGGGAGGGTAAATGTCAGGCTGGAAAATATTGTTGCCGTCACTAAGGGAGGGCTACTTGCCTCAGAAAAACCTCTAATTCATAGGTTCATGGCAGTAGCACTTCCTGAGGCAATTGTCTTAAAATAGGCTGAGAGCTTCAGCGTGGACCATTTCATGAGCGTCTTCTAGGGAATAAATTAGCAAGAGGTTCTGTAACATGTTTGGGTGCGGAGTTTGAGGGTGTGATGGGTTACATTTTTTTGGTGGATGACTCAAAGGATGAAATGAATGACGGTGTCCTGCCATTTCTTTTTAGAGCATTCATTGAATCTCTTCTTTTTTCTTCTTCTTCTCTTGCAATAAGATTTTTTCTAATAATCCTAGCGGCTGCCTCTTTGGAGGGCATTTAGAAAGAGAAGGGGTAAGTGGTTTGGAAGCCCAAACCAGCTGGGTCCTAATTCCAGCCATTGACCCTCCACCCCTCCAACCCAGACACCTCCCCTGTCCATCAGAAGGCTTTGCTTCCCTCTCTGGTGAGGTTGGAGTGGAATTTAGGATCTCCAAGAGAAGCCTGGGTGAAGATCAGAGTCCTTGCTGCTAGGAGCTGCTGTGCTCGTCCGAGGGACATGTGTCACTTTGATGAAGCTATTTTTTCCCCTGCTCCTGGTGTCTTTCACTGGAAGTGGCCCCTTGTTAGAACACGTAGGTAATAACAGTTTCCCACGAGACAATGGGAGGAGAGTCACCCTTTCCCCAAAACATGACAAGCTGTGTAATTTGGAGAAGAAAACAAGGACTAGAGCCTTCATGCATATTTGCAAGACAGCCAGTCTGCAGAGGAAGCCAGCCTGGCCTCACTCTGTGACAGTTCTTCAACCTGCAGAGCGAGGGTGAAGGTTTGGCTCTCCTCAAGGACCTGGCCCTTAGTGAGGCATGAGGCTGCTCCTCACCACGGATCTGTGGCCCCTGGGTCCTTTTACTGTAGGATCAGACTCTTTCCTCCCTTGAACTCACTCTTGACCCTGCCTGGGGCCTACTTAGAACCAAGTGAAGGGCACTGAGCCCCCATGGAAATGACCCATCCCTCCACCACCACCCCCAAACCTGAATTATGGAGGGGCCCAGCTCGCTCCACAGAGCAAGGAGGCTCCCTGTCCCTGGGGAAGGACAGGAACCGGAGAGAGCAGGGCAGGGGTGTGTTGCCTCCTGGAAAGTTCCTGCCTCACGCCTGGGCTCTGCAGGGTAAGGAGTTGCCGGCTGCCTCTGGCCCCAGCGCCCTGGCTCCTGTTTAATATTCTGCCTGCCCCGCTGATGTTGTGCTTGGCTCCTGCGGGACTGCAACTCACGGCTTGCAACTGGAGCCAATTTTCTGTCTTCATCTCTCCGTGTTTTGACTGGAGGCAGATCCAGTTCAGGCCGATCAGGGCTGGTGGAAACAACTACCAAGTGTGTCTGTCTGCTTCGCTTTGGGAGAAGAAAGCGGAGGGAGCCCCAGACTGTTGTAGAGGAGCTGGCCCCGCGGAAAGGAGAGGAGGAGGTGGCTGTGGAGTGGAGGAACCCCGAGAGCATCAGCAGGGATTGCTTGCCGGTGGAGGTGTCTGCCTCCCTCACCCCTTTCTTCTGATTGATTAGCGGGTTTCATCAAAGGAGACTCTCGGGGGATTGGCTAGAAAATTGATTTCGCCTTATTAATAGGAAGGACGCGCGCAGGGGGCTTTGGCCTTGCCTCCTGGCGGTCCATGCTCTGCGGCAAGGTCAGGGGGAAGATGTGTGTTTAGGAGGCAAAGCAGCTGTCTCAGAGAGGGCTGAGGGGAAGCTGAGAACAATACGAGATGGGGTTTTTCAAGATCCGCCCATGAGATGCTGATTGCCGAACACAGAGGCTGAGCGAACAGCAGCCGGAGAGTTTACTGAGGTTCTCTTTGAGGGGAAAAAAAATAAATAAATAAATAACAAACTGCTTCAGAATGAAGGGAGGGAGGACCCAGATGTAAAAGTTTCCCAGAGCAAAGGGATGAAAATGCCAAGGCCATGGCCTGCCTTCCTCCTGATCAAGGCTGTTTTCTATTTTATTTTATTTTTTTCTTCCAGATCTGAGGCTGTCAGAGATGACTCTGGTTCTGTCCATGAATAGATTCTGCGAGCCCATTGTCTCGGAAGGAGCTGCCGAAATTGCAGGGTACCAGACACTATGGGAGGCTGACAGCTACGGAGGCCCCAGCCCCCCAGGGCCAGCACAGGCTGCTCTGCAGGGAGACCGGGGAGCCGGCCCCCCGCTGGCAGGTACCGCTCTTGACCTTGGCCCACTGCCCTCTGAGGCCAGGCTGGTGGGAGGAGGGGGTGTCTGCAGGGCCTCTCTGAGCTGAGCCCAGCTCCAGGGCTCTTCCAGGCAAGCCCCAGTGGGTTTGACAATGAAATCCTGGTCCCATGGGACAGAAAGGAATCTGCACTCCGGGCCAACGTGCTCTGTGTGTGTCTTCTTCTTATTAAGCACACAATTGGCTTTGGTATTGGGGGGAGGGGGGGGAACGTCCAAGCTCAGAAAACAGAACTATGTTCTTTCTCAGGCTTTAGTCTAATGTTTTAAGGTAAGCTCCTTTGGATTTGTGTGTAGTACTAGCAATTTTTAAAGAGCCCTACCATGTAACACAAGTACTTGTGAAGTCTGGTTGGCTAAAAAAGGATTAAAAGCTGTGGTCTTTTAAAAAGCAGACCTTACTTGAATTCATGGTTGACATGGTACGTTTTTGAGAGCCACAAGGACTTTGGTTACCCAACATTTTTAAATTTCAGATTTTGAAAGAAGAAATACTGTAACTGCCATGTGCAGATAATCGTTATTTTCCCTACCTAAAGCCAGTAGTACTTTAAAGTTGTTTAATTATTAGTGCTTATAATTTAGTATATGTATGTATCGCGTGTTCCCCAAAATGTATACACACACGTTGAATAATTATAGACGGTGTTTATTAAAATACATTTCATTTTCAAAATTGAACTATCAGCTGTTAATTGAACTATACATTTCGGGGGTGCGGGGGGACCCTGTATTTGAACAGTGGTGTTATGGTATCATGAATTTAATTGAACAATTTGAATAAATATCAATATGATTTCTGAATTGTTACAGTCCTCCCCTTTTGAGTTTGCCTGTGCAAAGAATCTGAATATTTAGTAAATGCTGAAATATGCCGTTTTCCTCTGTCATTGTCTAGAAAGCCTTGCCTGGCCTGGGCCGCAGGATTCTGCATGATAGCAATTATTAAGACAAGCGTTTGTTTTTAATCACCACATGTACAGAGAGATACATAGCCAAGTTATCTTCTAGAGGGAAAAGAGAGAAAAGTATTTTGCTTGGAGAACCTCTGGCAAACCGCATGTCATTTGTCATATCTGATTTATTACCACAGGATCACATTACAGGGGAATTTCAAATCCTATAACAACATCCAAGATCACATACTTTAAGAGGAAGTATGTGGAAGAAGAGGATTTTCACCCACCACTCAGCAGCTGTAGCCATAAAGTATGTTTTTTTAATAGTCATTACTTTTATTAAGAGTTTAAGATACTGAGTAACAACAGTTGCTTGATCCATTTCCAGAAATCCAATTGTTCCCCCCAAGCAAGAAAAGGGAGCTACTTCTCGTCACAGCCATATTCATCGCTGTCACTTTTTTGGGTGCCTGCGTTATTTTTCACAAGGAGTTGAAAAAAAAGAGCCAGCAGGCGCTCCACTGCCCAGAAATAACAGAATTATATAATCCAAGGAGCGCCTCTTTTACAAATGATTTCCTTTTTCTCGCTGTGTTGCGGGTTGTGGCTAGTCCCGGTGCTCACGTGTGCTGCCAGGCCCTGTCCCTTCCCTGGCCTGCTCTCACCCTCAGCTCTGGCTCCTGTGACAGTGCCCCCTCCGCGTGTGCCCACGTGGGGTGCTCCCTCTGGGCTTTGCCCGACCCCTTCCGGGTGGACCCACCCGCCCTCCAATGTGTGCATGGAAGTAGAAACCTGCACTTCCTTGCACGTTTGTTACATACGTTCAGTTTGTTCAGATATATCATCCGTTCCCCCCCCAAAAAATACCAAAGTTAACTTTTTGCACGTTATTATAAGAAAATTACAGGATCGGGACAGTGTGTAGAAGTGTGAAACTGGCCATCGAAGCTTTTCAAACACCATCTCTTTTCCCTTACTGTTATCTTTCCTTTATATATATATTGATTTCAGAGTGGAATGGAGAAGGACATAGAGGGGAAAATATCAATGATGAGAGAGAATCATTGATTGGCTGCTTCCTGCACACTCCCCACTGGGGATCGAGCCCACAACCCAGGCATGTGCCCTTTGCCAGAATCGAACCTGGGACCCTTCGATCTGCAGGCTGACGCTCTACCCGCTGAGCCAAACTGGCTAGGGCTATTATCTTTCTTCAGAAAATAGCTGCTGCTTTCATCAGCCCAGACGCTAGTTGTCTGAAAGGCAGAGAGGATTTATAGTTTTTCTCTCTGTCTCTTCTTACTCTCCCCACTTCCCCACCACCCCTGTTCTTTAGAAATCACTTGGACCCTGCTCATGAAGACATCAGCACACACTGGCAGGCGTTGGGCTTCTCCCTGCGTGTGTATCCCTGCCGGTGGTCAGCCTGGGCTGGTTCGGTCCCTCGCGCCTCGGGTTAGGCTATCACTTGGCTTTTTTATGAGCTGGAATAGCTGGCGCCCATGACGCAAGCAGTGTATGTCCCTTTTGTCGTTTGGTTGTAGCAGTTTTCCAGTTTCTGCTGGATCTGTACCACCCCTCAGACAGTGATGGTAGGTATCCCCCAGCTCAGGACAGAGTCCTCCCATTCCCTCTCTGCATCCCCGCTCCTTCCTTGCCCAAAAGGATGCCTACTTTGGCCCTTCAGATCCTTTCAGGTTCTGGGCTTCATTCCTCAATCATCATCCCCCTTTTGAGCAACAATCATTGCAAGTATGAAATCCAGAGGATTGAAAGAGGGACAACACGGAGACCAGGTCTCATGCCCCTGGATGGCTAGGCCAGGCTTTGAAGTGGAATCCTTATGACTTGCATGTCGGCATCTTTTTATTATTTTTTATTTTTACTTTTTAAAAATATATTTTATTGATTTTTTACAGAGAGGAAGAGAGAGGGATAGAGAGTTGGAAACATCGATGAGTGAGAATCTTCGATCAGCTGCCTCCTGCTCACCCCCTACGGGGGATGTGGCTGCAACCAAGGTACATGCCCTTGACCGGAATCAAACCTGGGACCTTTCAGTCCACAGGCCGACGCTCTATCCATTGAGCCAAACCGGTTTCGGCTGTCGGCATATTTTTAAAAGCATTTGTTGGCATACAATATGTGAGTCTGTGTGTCTATATACATGTGTATTACACACACAAAAGCACAAGTATCATAAGAGTATGGCTTGGAGAATTTCACCCAGTGAACATACCTGTGTCATTAGTATTCAGATCAAGAAGCAACGTCAGCCCTAGCTTGGCTCAGTGAATAGAGCGTCAGCCTACGAACTGAAGGGTCCCAGGTTCGATTCCAGCCAAGGGGGTTACCATGCCCAGGGGTTACCAGCTTGTGTCCCCAGAAGGGGGGCGTGCAGAAGGCAGCCAATCCATGATTCTCTTTCATCATTGATGTTTCTCTCTCCCCTCTTCCTTCCTCTCTGGAATCAATTTAAAAAAAAAAAAAAAAAAAAAAAATATATATATATATATATATATATATATATATATATATATATATTTTTTTTTTTTTTAACAAAAGAAGCAACATTACCAGAACCCAGAACCCTTCCATGGCCCCCTTCTAGTCTCTGCCCTCCAGGGAAACTACCCTCATGACTTCTTTTTTTTTTTAATATATATTTTATTGATTTTTTTACAGAGAGGAAGAGAGAGGGATAGAGAGTTAGAAACATCGATGAGAGAGAATCATTGACCAGCTGCCTCTTGCACACCCCCTACCGGGGATGTGCCCACAACCAAGGTACATGCCCTTGACCGAAATCAAACCTGGGACCTTTCAGTCCGCAGGCCGACACACTATCCACTGAGCCAAACCGGTCTCGGCTACCCTCATGACTTCTTACAGCACAGTTAAGTGTTGTTCCACGAAAGAGGCAGCAACTTGGCTTGTCCCTGCTGAGGTCTCACGTGTGGCTGGACTCCCTGGGCCGTGGCCACCCCAGTAAGCCAGGAAGGGGACATTAGCAGACGGGGGGGGGGGGGCAGCCTCTCTAAGGGGACCTGGGGAAACAGGGCCGCCTGCTCCCAGGTGCAGACACAGCCCAGAAAGAACGATGCTGCGATGCTCTGTCCACCGTAGGAGTCCCTTTCCTAAGCCTTCTCTTCCTGTTGTGATTCCTAGACCATCTCCGTTTTCGAGGAGCGAGCCCACATCCTTTACATGTCCTTAGAGAAGCTCAAGTTCATCGACGACCCTGAAGTGTACCTCCGGAGATCTGTCCTGATAAACAACCTGATGAAGAGGATCCATGGAGAGATCATCATGCAGAATAACTGGTGCTTTCCCGCCTGCTCGTTCAACGGCGCCCCTGCCCAGGAGTGGTTCGTGGCCCAGGACTGCCCTTACCGGAAACGACCGCGGATGGCCAAAGAGGAGTGTGAGAAGATCCATGCCTGCTGCTTCTACCAAGATTGTGGTGGCCACTATCTAAATCTACCCCTTTCTGTCAATGCTAATGTTGGAAGTGCCTCCACCACTGCCTCCTCTTCTTCCCCCTCCTCCCCCCCCTCCTCCTCCTCCTCCTCCTCTTCTTCCTCTTCTTCCTCCTCTTCCCCTCTGCCTTTACCAAGTTGTTCCCACCAGGTGGATTTTGATGTCGGCAGTGCACCAATTTACAAGGGTGATGGCCACATACCTGCCAGTGAAATCTTTGTCACTAATGCCAGGTCGCTTGGTGTTCAGGAAAAGGCCAGATTACATGATGAGAAATCCCACGATGACACTGACCGGGCCGGCGGCCCCCTCAGCCACGAACCTGTGGGACACGACCTGGCGTTTGAGTGCAAAGGCCAATTTTATGATTATTTCGAGACTGGCTACAATGAGAAGAACGGCGTCAGCGAGTCCTGGAAGAAGTCCTTGAGGAGAAAGGAGCCCTCCCCAGGCAACAAACTGTGCTGCAGCAAAAGGAAGTAGAACTCGGGCCATCCTCTCCCTCCGCAACTCTTGACGCATGCTCAGCATGACCCGTTAGCACTCCTGCATTTTATCCTGAATGGACTTTTCTAGTTTTGTACAGCTGATACGATTATGCCATGAACACGCCGTGTCGTCTGAATGCCTGGAGAGCAGATTGCGTAAAACATCTGTATGGTTAGGCATCAATGAGCTACTTAGAAGGGTGGTGATTTTTTCTAAGAAAACAGTGGACTTCATGCTTCCAAGTCTATCTTGGTTTTTCTTACAGGAAAGACCAGTAGATTAGACAGATGGGAGGACAGTGCGCCCTTGTGGCATGTCCATTATCCCCAAGGAGCCTGTCACTAGCTAAGAAACTTCCAGGTTTGCCAATGAATGAGGCAGGTGTTTGGTAAACAGATCCATATAACCAGCACAGAAGGTCTGCTTCGTCTATAGAAGACAGTATTTTTTTTTTTCCTGAACGAAAGACTGAAGACAGGGGGAGCGAGGTGAAATGGCTTCATGGTGCCTGTGAAGTATTTGTACCTAACAGTCTTGTGGGACAGATGAAAGCAGGACATAACGGTAAATGAAGCACACCTATCTAAGAGCGGCCATCAGCACTATGAGTGGAGGGCGCTCCCTGCAAGTTCCCGCTTGCCTGCGATGGGTGATGATGAGGCTTTTAGAGAAGTGGTATACAGGGCGATTTTCGGTGCCTTAACTTTATCTTAATTTTTGCCAATGTGAAAATTAAGGATGAATCAGTCACAGCAGGGATTTAACAAACAGGAAAAAAAAAAAAAACTAAACACACACACACATACACAGGGTGGATCGATATTGTTTGGAAACCGTTAACCTTCGAGCTGTTGCGTTCAAACTTTTGATTCGACATCTCTACTGTTCCTTTGTGTTTGATGCCCGGTTGTTTCGGAATTTGGCATTTTTTGAAAGGGATGGAGGAGACGATAGAGAGAGCGGTTGGGAACCAGCGCTAGCTGCTTGGGCTTTTCTATGGCAACCGTCTGTTGCCGGGATTGGGATTTTTGGGTTTGGGGTCCTTCGGTTTGGTTTGGTTTTTCTTGTCCAATGAAATTCACGAACCAGTGGCATGCATTCTATTTTAATCGGTTCTGCATCAGTTCACTCGTTTTAGATTATAAACGCATGTGGTTTTTTATATATAACTTTTTGCTGTTGATTAAGAAGCACAATGTTAATAAATGATGTGGTGATCAATAAGGTTTTTATCTTAAAGAATGTAAAGATTTTTAGGTTTGGGAAAGTTATTTTGGAGAAATGGGACTCAGCCAGCAATAGCTACAGACTGCGTAGTTGGTCAACGTTTTTCTCAATCATTTCTTTAACCTGTTACATTTGTGAGAGGGTTCGGGGTGCCCCTCTGACCCTCCTGCCCTCTGCTCCAGCCAATTCCTCCTGCTTAACTGTGTTCCAATTTCAAGGTCACTATCTGATGGGGCCTCCTTAAACAGGACTGTGCGAACCAATGCTAAATGGAGGAATGAAGTACGTCCTCCCAGTTTCTCCAAGATAAAGCTTTTTTTATTATTGCTATTAATATTAAATATAGGTCTCATTCATACAGTGTATGAGTAGGATCATCATTTGGACAATGTCCACAAGGACCAATTTTTTCAAACATGTTCTTGTGTTATGGCTCAATAGTCTAGTAAAGTTTGTCCTTTATTTTCAATATTTGATAAACATTTGATGTTGAAAACTTAGATGATAGACGCTTGTATATGTATGTGTTGTTGTAATAAAGTGAGGTTTTCTTGATATATATTTATTAAAACGATCAAAATTCATTAAGGTTTTCTTACTTTCATGATTATCGGCCATGTTTCTTTTTCCATTGCTCGCTCTTCTTAAAAAAATAAAAAGACAACACAAAACACCTAGAAACTAGTGGGCAATGGCTGCATGGGAGTTTTGACTTGAAGTCGATATGACAGGTGTTTTTGAATGGTCCTGGTTTCTACGTTTAGATTTCTGTGGATTAAGAGCACAATATAATTGATCATCAGCAAGGTTTTATCTTAAAGAACCCAGAGATGTTAGCTTTGGCAGAGTTTCGGGGGGTTGGGGGGAAGCATAAGATGAATCTATAAACACTGATTCCTAGTTCCTTCCTTAGGGAAATGTCAAATTGTCAAGAAAGATGACCTATACGTGAGTGTTAGTTAAACCAGCTACCGATGATTGCCGGTAGTATTCCATACAATTCCGTATTCATGTTATTCTGAGAGGCTAATGTCTTATCTGAAAAAAGGGGGATGCTAGTTGGCAGCTAATTAATTTGTCAAAGGTGCCATCCTTGTTATGAGGGTAATACACGGTGGAGATTTAAATATGAAAGGAAGGACTTATCCCCTTTGCTTTTAAAAAGCCCAGCACTTCCAGATGTGGCTCCTGGTGGCAGATCTGGAGATGGCGGAGCGGGTAGGTTTCCACAGTGCTCACCTGTCTGCGGGCCCAGCACCTGCGCCGTGGAGCCCGAGAGAGCTCCCTCCCCTGCAGGAGCCGCCATGTCTGTGGATCCCGCAGCATCGCATGTGTCATTGTTAGTCAACAAGCTTTGGTTTCACGACATTTCCAACATAGTAGAAGGGATACCTCCCTCGTCACCAAGAAAACAATCCCAAACCAGCCACCTGAATAACAAAGATGTTCCTGTTGGGATGAGAGCAACAGGGCCTCCTATGTGCCTGCGTTGCCATCTCTGCTCAGGAGACAGAAAGCTGGGATTTTTCCAGAATGGCCATGGCACACCCCTTAGTAGCCAGTTAAATCTATTCACTGGGTTCTTTGTTATATCCTTGGGGCCTGGGAAATCGAAGACACCCTCCTTCACCTCACACTGCTCTCTCCCTCCCAACACGGAAATAGCACTTTTCTCCTTGCTGCGCTCAACTCTAAGGGAAACCTGATGTGGCAGAATCCAGACTTTCAAAAGGTAAATGAGGGGGAATCTTCACTTAAGAAAACGGCCTAGCTCCCCACAAGTGCTTTTAATTGCTACACCTAGGCGGAGAGGTGCATGTCATTAACCAAATCCCAAACCTTTGTCTCTGGTCTTTCCTCTCTAACCGTAGGTGATGCAGAAGATGGTCTGTAAAGGCAAAGGAAATCCCCATCATCTGCTTCCACTCTAAACTCCTATTATTATTCTATACTTCACCTTGAAAGGGGCCCTGGGAACAAGATTTGCAGGGATGAACAGTGAACTCCAAGGTACACTTTGGGGGATGATGTGTCAATGTGGGTCCACTGATTGTAACAAAGGCACCCCTCTGTGAGGGTGGGGGGTACTGAGGTGAGGGTGGCTGTGCATGGGGCGGGATGAGGAAGGGGTTTGGGGAAACCCTGTACCTTCGCTCGATGTGAACCTAAAAGTGCTCATACAAATAAAGTCTATTGAACTCTACAAAAGACGGCAGTGATGGGGATCTGGGAGGAAGGGACAAAAACTCAAAACCATTGGAAGTGATAGCATCTTTGGCATAATCTTTTTTTAAAAATATATTTTATTGATTTTTTACCTAGAGGAAGAGAGAGGGACAGAGAGGTAGAAACATCTATGAGAAAGAATCATTGATCAGCTGCCTCCTGCACCCCCCCACTGGGGGTGTGCCCGCAACCAAGGCACATGCCCTTGACTGGAATTGAACCTGGGACCCTTCAATCTGCAGGCCGACGCTCTATCCACTGAGCCAAACCGGTATTGGCTGGTAAAATCTTTTAAGACAATAGACTTTTAGATCATTTTGCATGCTACTTTGCTAAGTAAATGCTGAAGCAAGTGGATGAAAGATATTTGCTTTTAGAACTTGGTCAAAGCGTGACTATTCACCCCTCCAGTCATGAACTTGTGTCACAACTCCGCTTGACAGCTTCAGGAACACCCTGCAGGAGACGTGAGCATAGCGGAAGAGATGTCACCCTCCCCGTCCATGTCAGACAAGGACACAGATAGGCCTTCCTCTCCCTCAAATTGTGAGCAGAAAGTGTTCTTGAAAATAAGTTGATCAAACCCATTTTTTATGACTGGTCCTTAAGTGTGAAGTCATTTCATTTGTAGTTAAGGTGATCACATCTCTGCCCATTTCAAAAAACCAGGATTCTGCATGGCGTTAACAAGGATGGTTTGAAATAGAGGTACAATTGTCCCATGAAGGGAGAATGAAATCACTGCTTAGATAATAAAAGAGACAATGTACAGCTTCTAATAATTTATTTTAAGCTTGCTGTGTTTTGCCCAGCGGCGTGGCTCAGTAGTGGAGGGTCGAACTATGAACCAGGAGGTCACGTTCGTTTCCCAGTCAGGGCACATACCTGGGTTGCCGGCCCCATCCCCAGTGTACGGCATGCGGGAGGCAGCCAATCAATGATTCTCTCTCATCGTTGATGATTCTCTCTCTCCCTTTCCCTTCCTCTCTGAAATCAACAAAAAGACATTTTAAAAAATAGATTGCTGTGTTTTGATTCTGTGGGTTAAAATAAATACATTCAGAGTCTTTTAAGTTACTACAGCGTTTTCTTTTTTCTTTTTTTATTGTTTAAAGTATCACAAAGAGTAGTACATATGGCTCCTTTTAATTTTTTTTTTTCAATTGACCTTCCCCCAGCCTCCCCTACCCCCTGGCACATGCTCTCATCCCCCCCCTCCCAGTGTCTTGCATCCATTGGTTATGCTTAGATGCATGCATACAAATCCTTCGGTTGATCTCTTATCTCTCCCTACCCCTTAACCCTCCCTAACCTTTGTGCTATAGTTGACAGTCTGTTCGATGCTTCTCTGCCTCTGTATCTATTTTTGTCCACCAGTTTATAATGTTTTTTATTATCCACAAATGAGTGAGATCATGTGGTATTTTTCTTTCATTGATTGGCTTATTTCACTTAGCATAATGCTCTCCAGTTCCATCCAGGTTGTGGCAAATGGTAAGAATTCCTTTTTTTTTTTTTATAGCAGCATAGTATTCCATTGT